CTCTGGCCTGTAACCTCCACGTGGGGCGTGACTCAGCAAGGCCTGATGTAAGACTTCCCCCTGCCTAGCAACCTGCCTGCTTGGTGGAATACCATTGGCCCTTACTCCTCAAGTCACCTTACCCTATCCTCAGATTCCCATCCCCTACCTCAGCCCTGTGTAAGTTCCTGCCTGTTGGAATAAATCAAGATCCTGATTCCACAAGTCTCAGGACTCAGTGTGTATTTTCTCCCTGGTAACTAGTAGTGGGGAGGGTTTGAGTCTTTGGCACTCACCATCCTGACCAGCTAGACCGGCTCTTCTCCCGCTCTACCTGCCAGAGGATCCGACAGGTCACCAGAGTGTCCATTGTCCTTAGCCCTCAACACTGGTCTAAGTTCATAGAAGTTAAATATCTTGACAATTACACAGTTTAATGTGGTGGTGATCCCTGGAACTTACAGACCGCAAGGTATTCGCTCCGTCTTATGAGATCACCTGTCACCAAGGACTGCTGCATCAGCCACCTCCATCTGACAATGGCTTGGTCCCAAGTTACCGAGGAGCTGTTGTCATTCCCAACTTGTAGGTCAGGAAACAGGCGTGGAGAGTCATCTGTCCAAGGAATGTCAGTAAGCAGAGTGTGTGGGATTCGAACCCAGGCCATTGGAACTAGTTCCTTCCCCTATTTGAAACCATAGTTCACAGCTCTGGGCTTTCAAGGGGAGAAATATTCCCTTGAATTGCACAGACTGTTCCAGAAAGTGTGTGGGCTGAAGTCAGGGAGGCCGGTTTTGATTTACTGTCAAGATCTGGTGTATGCGCACCACAGAGCAGGCCACCTTCTGCCTGCTCCTTGAAGGGTGTGGGTTCTGCCAGTTCTACTACCCATGGTTCCTGAAAGGGCAATTTAGCAAACAATGTAGAGAAGCTGCTTGTAGCAATAAATTACCGTGCTTAAAGGGGTTATTTTTATCCTTCCCTGTGTTCTGGGGGCCCCGACCAATTCAGCAAACAAAGGCAGGTTGAGTAGGTGCCCCTGTGTGTGGGCCAGGAAGGCACACACGCACACACAACATTGTTTTTAACAAAATACATCGGGCGTAGACTGTGTTGCTACCCTTTAGCACCCACTGCCATGCTGTGGCAAGCTGGAGTCACCCGGAGCTCCCTGTTTTTCACCCAGTGCAGAGGGTTACACATTCTGCAGAAAGCCTTGGATAAAGCAATGTGGAAGTGTGTTGTTAGTCTGCTTTCTGTTGCTATAACAAAATATCCAAGACCAGGCCATCTGCAAGAGACTGAAAATTATTTGACTCGTGACTCTGGAAGCTGGGAAGTTTAAGAATGTAGCTGAAGTGTCTGCCCTGTATTGATGAGGGCTCCTTCTACACCGTAGAGCATCAGAGGGTACGGCTTGATGAGACCAGGAAACGTGGCAGCTCAGGTCTATCTTATAAAGCCATTAAAGACATCTTAGGGGCCCCACTCTCCTAATACTTAGGTTTTGCTTTGTTTATGCCTACTTAATATAACTAGAGTCTTCTGAGAAGAGGAATTACTTCTATCAAGTTGGCCTGAAGGCAGCCCTGTGGAACATTTTCTTGATTGATGTGAGAAGGCTCAGCACATTGTGGGAGGTGCCACCCCTAAGTATATGGTCCTGGGTTGTATAAAACAAACAAACAAATGAACACACAAACAAACCCTGGCTGAGCAGGCCAGTAAGCAGCACTCTTCCATGGTCTCTGCACCAGTTCCTGCCTCCGGGTTTCTGCCATGCTTGCGTTCCTGTCTTAGTGATGCTCAGAGACCAACAGAAACCTCAGAAGCCATCCACTCCAGCTCTGGTGTTTTAAGGCCTTTTGGTGGCTTCTCCCTTCTATGTCTGTGCTCTGCCATTCTGTTACTGGCCTTGGGATGGCGAGAAGCTTTGTTTTGAAGCTGGGTCTCATGTAGCCCAGGCTAGCCTCAGACTCAGTTAGTAGGATTCAAAAGCAGGATAACTTTGAACTTATGATCCTCTGTCTCCACCTCCTGAGTTTATGGGGTTACAGGGGTGCACTACCATGCCCAATTTTATGAGGCACTAGGGATGAAACCCTGGGCTTCATTCATGTTAGGCAGTGCTCTGCAGACCGAGCTATATCTCCAGTTCAGTTTGTTCTTTGAACTCATACTCAGAATTATTTATACAGCAGACATTTGACAAATTCTTTGGGATGCTCAGGAGGAGGGGAGGAAAGAAAGGCAACAGGGGATGCTTTGGGTCGGACTGGAGAGGGCCATGGGATTGAGTTGCACACTGGCCTCTGGCCACTGACTCGGATGAAATATGACCATATTTAAAGCAGTAATTAATCACTGCAATTACATTGCAGATGCTGAGATGGCCCAAGGCATCCAGAAATCCCTTCAAACACTTAGGGCCAGGGTTATGGGTGTCTCATGCATCCCAGAACATTCAGCTAGGAGTAAACAAGCAAAAGTGAACAGGGCATCCTGCCTTAACACAGCAGCAGAGTGTTCTGGGCACGTTGCCGTCCTCAGAGTGGGTCAGAGGAGCTTTAACTGAGAGCCATGTTTTGGGTATGTCTGTGTTGTTCTAAAAATTGAGAGACACTTCAGTTTTAGCCACGCTCTTGGCTTCTGTGAGAGACACTTGAGGGATCTTGACGGGGACAGCACCCTTCTCTCAAAGAACTCCCTCCACACTCTGTCTTTGGACAGCCATCCTGTCTATGTCGAGTGAGGCGGGGCTCCAGTGGCCACAACGAACGGATCAAACCAAGAGCTTCAGGATTCAGTGAGGGTCTAAGATGATAATCAGTCCCCACCAAAGACGTGTAAGCCAAATACTCAGATAGCCTGAGAGCCACTGTGTACAGTTTCAGGGGTACAATCTCTCTCGAAGGCAATCCCTCACAGTGCTGTGTGCCATGAACTGGGAGAAGAGTGTCTCTCATAATGCCGCAGCGAAGGGGTCAGCCGGGACAGAGGACACCTGAGGCTTTGAGCGTAGGGGCATGTCTATATAGAACACTGGGTCATGCCCATGCACATGGACGATTCTGTGATAATGCTTGAGGTTCCCCCCCCACACTTGGTATTATTCTTTCCTTACAGTGAAGACTCTACAGACCAAGGAGCTTCTAAGACATAGGCTCAAAGATCATTCCCTTCAGCATCTGCTCTATGCTATCGATCATACAGGGAAAACTGGATTCAGACTAGGAGGTGATCAACAGGCATGAATGGAAGAGCTAAGCCTCCCCGAGGACCCACTGGCAAATGTGGCCACCACAGCTCATCACATTTTCAAGCACTCCGTGCCTTACCAGGATTTCAGTTACACACCAACTCCCGGTGTTCAGACCGATGCTGAGACCTGACCTTATATAACCTCTGCTCACTGTGCTCCCAGCCTGGCTGCTAAAAGCTGGCTAGCTTCCATAATGCAGTCTTCGTTTTCCTCACCAGATTCCTCCCTCCACACATGCTCTTGCCGATCTAGAATGTTCTTCTCTTATCTTTTTGCTGGTTTTCTGCTCTCTTGAGAGATCTGCAAAGATACTGGGGGCTTCCTCTAGCCTCCTTCAGAGCTTGCATAGTTCCCTGCATTTCTGCCTCTGAAGAGCAAGCAAGGCCAACTAAACAAAATGCATCATATTTCTCTTATTGGCCTGTCTAGTCAGGGAGCTCCATCAAGTGGGAGCCAGTCTCAACGCTGTTCTATCCTCAGTGTGTGGCCTTGGTCTCAATGTTTTCAACTGGATGCAGCAGACCTCACTATCCCTCCCTGCTGCCTTTTAAAAGTTTGTTTTAATTTTATGTGTGTGAATATTTGTCTGCATGAACATATACAGACCACATGCATTCCCGGTGCCTGACATGGCCAGAGGAGGGGTCAGATCCCCTGGAACTTGAGTTAGAGATGGCTGTGAGCTACCACATGGATGTATGGAACCGAACTTGGTTCTCTAAGAGCTCTTAACCACCAAGCAGTCTCTCTACCCCTCACCCCTTCCTATTGCATTTTACAAAGATGGAGAACAGTGGGGCTCACCCAGAGTCAGGGTCAGTTTACAGCATAGCCAATTGCCCCACCCCGTTACCTTGTAGATCTTGTAGACATGTCACCAGGCAAGTTTGTTCCAACCTCTCTGAGAGCTACATTCTCTGTCTTTTTTTTTTTTTTTTTTTGCTCCCTTCTCCCCTACATTCTCTGTCTTACCAGAGTGAACATGTCAGACTTTTGGATCCACAACAAAAACAAACAAACAAAAAACAAAACAAAACAAAAACCTCTTGGTTAAACTCTTTAAGTTCAGTTGCCTGTGAACCTCCAGGAGATCCAGTACACTGCTAATGTGTTTCAGTGAGGCACAGTCAGACACCCAAGCTCTGGTCACATCATTAAGGCTCCTCCGTGACTCAGATATTGATCTTAATTAAGAAGTGGTGTCTGTGAAGAACTGGAGGCGGCAGGAGGACATGGCAACAACAGGCCTCCGTGAGGAGGGGTGACTGAAGGTAATCTTGTTTGTTCAACTCACCGTTGTCTTCCTGTCCCACTAGAGTCGTGACTGGGTTTTCTTTCTCGATTGGTAAAATGTATCAGCAAGTCCTTAGCTTGGGTTAAAAAACTCAAACCTAACAGCCAGACGACTGGCTCACCCTGTCTCTTTAACAGCTGCTTTTAATGGGGAGTTGAATCAATACCACTGGACCCACAGGCCTCCCAGAGCAGACACAGCCAGATGCCCAGTTCTGAGGAGGCAGGGGAGAGCCAGGAGGTGATGCAGAGATAAACCAGACAACACCGGGCTGCCGGGCAGTAACCAAGCAACCAGCACACTCACTCTGAAAGGCAATACAAAAAGCAGGCAAGACAGTGGCCACCAAGTGATGGGGAAGTCCTGTGTGTATGTCAATAAAGCACTGTTGGCCAATAGGGAAGCAAGATAGGTGGGACTAGGAGCCGAGGAGGATTCTGGGAAGGAGAAACACAGGTAGTCATCATTGCAGCTGCCATAGGGGTAAGAAGTCCGGACCCTTTTCTCTGGTAAGAGAAATACTTAGATTAACAATTATGGGGTAAATACTTAAGTCAGAGCTAGCCAGTAAGAAACAAGTAAGGCCAACAGCTTCATAATTAATACAGCGCCTTGTGTGTTATTTGGGGACTACAACGCGGCAAAGCCCAGGCGACTGGTGGGGAAAAACCAAAGCTGCTGGCAAGGAAAAGGCTTCACTCAACAACCAAGTCTGAGCAGGAAAGAGATGCACACAGGGAGCTCTAAGGGACAGGGAATACCTGGGCACCAGCGGTGACAGACCCACACAACATCACCAAATGACAACCAAAGATACTTGGTATGGGAGCCAGACTCCAGGCCTCAGAGGAACTTCCCAACGCTTCTGTTTAGAGATTTTAAATTTTGTAATTACACGTATTGTGTCTTTGAACTCATGCACGCGTTCATGGGGGGGGGGGCAGGACAAACCAGAGGAATTGGTTCTCCACTTCCACTACGTGGGTCCCGGGGATTGAACTCAGACTGTCAGGCTCGGCAGCAGGCTGCTTTTCAAGCTAAGCCACCTCAAGGTAAAAACTATTTTCATAATCCATAAATGGCTCATGAGAATAGTTGACAAAAGAAGCTATCCCCACCAGTCTCCTACTGGGTGGCTCGCAGACAAATGAATAAAAGAAGGTTAATAACCAAGTTTCTCTGCCTTGGATCCAAAAGCCTGACCTGCCCCATCTTGGAAAGATGAGACGCAAGTGCCCGCAAGACTTACGAAAGAGGACTTCAGGTTTTCAGCCATCGGGAAAATGAAAATGAAAGCTTAAATGAAATTTCGTTCCATGCCCCTAGGATGGCTAAAATCATAATGATTGCTGAGCAACGGCTGCCTGGAACACAGCATGGCGCAGGCATCTCGGGGGAATGGGTGGTTTCTTGTGAAATTAAACACGCACGAATCTCCACTTTGATCCAGCAGTTCCACTCTCAGAGAAACGAAAACACAGACCACAAGATGGCTTGTGCACCAAGGCATATAGGTGACTGAAGGTGAGGATGTCACTAGACCCTAGCTAAATGATAAATGGATGCTTATTGGGGGAACACTTACACAGAAAAATACAAAGAACCGGCAAAGCATTTCTCTGCTCTTCCTACAGGATCCTCAAGCTCCTCTCTTCCCATTTCCATCCGCCTGAAGCCACACCCAAAGGGGTGTGGCCATCGTTTCAGGTCCTCAGACCAGATGCCTACAGGTGACTCTATCCCCATTAAACTCAGACGACCCAAGTGCCCATTAGTAGAAAACAATGATGAATTTTTCATATATATAATGAAATACTTTTAGCAAATTATACTGAAGTATAGGTGAGCTCGTGAGTGACACTCACAGGAGTTCTTCAGAGCCAAAGAAGAGTCTATATTCACTTGTATGCAATCAGGAGCTATCAAAGGTTAAAGGATGGTGACAGGGATTCAAATGTGGTTGAGGATGGGGCAGGTGACTCGGAGGAACCACGATGATGAAAATTTTCTATAGAATATTTTGGGCAATGCTCCCGGGTGTAAAAAATTTATCAAAAACCCATCAAGCTGGAAACCTAGGGTTTGCCCTTTGATGAGTACCAGTTATACCTTCCCTTGAAAAATAATAGGCTACAGAGCAGGGTGTGGTGACTCATATTTGTAATCTCCACACTAGGGAGGCTGGGACAGGAAGACAATAAATTCATGACCAGCCTGGAATATGTAGTAAGGTTCTGTCTTAACACAACAATAACAGTAGCAATAATCAGAGTTACCGGCATTCGAAATCTCGAAATCTCGATACAGTATAGCAGATGCGAGGTCTCACACTGGTACAGCTTCTGCTCCCAAAGCAGGCATCATGATTTAACTTCCTCATTCTGTGCCTTTGAGCTTCAACAGGACTTGAGAATGTATCACAAGCTGGCTCTGAATGATTATTAACACTGCATGTCAATATGACAGGATCTAGAAGCACCTAGCAGTCAAACCTCTGGCCGTGTCTGTGAGAAATCTTCTGGATTAGGTCACTTGAGGTAGAAAGACCCATTCTGAATGTGGGTGGCACCCTCCCATGGAAGGGGGATCCTGTATTGGATAAAAAGTAGAAAGTGAGCCAGGCACTAACTCATCTCTTGCAGCCTGGCTGCTGGTGTCATGTTAGGCATCAAGAACAGTGTCTCTTTCAACCTGCTCTCTAGTTTGGTGAGGCCCGGCAGAAGTCAAGAGCACCATAAAAATAAAACCCGCTGCAGAAAAGTTTTAAAATAATTAAAAATCCTGCCACAAAACCTGCTTCGAATGTGTTTCCTTCTTTTCAGAGGTGTAACTTAACATACAAGCGCAGGTCTTGGTTTTCACTGTCTTGAGTATTTCTCTAAGTTACTTAGCAGTTTTCATATTTCTTCTCTGTTGATAGTGGCATAGCCCTCCAAGGAGCTACACTGTCACTTGATTCTTAATCTCACAGTTCCCACCGTCCCTCCATACTTCCCACATATTTACTTGTCTGAGGGAGAGTTTGGGGGCTCTGTTTGTAGCTGATTTCCACTGAGTGCCTGCTCTACATGGGTGCCATGCTTATCAATATGCAGGCATTTTATTTGCTCTTTGCAACCTTCCTACAGGACAGCTACTATTTGACATTTTATAGATACAGAAATTGAGGTGCGTGTGTGGGGGGCTTTAGGGAGCTCATTCAAGGTTACACAGCAAGTGTCAGAGTCAGATGGAACAAGATGGATACGCTTCCAGAGGAGTAAGCAAGAAGGCCTACGTGTTTTCTGTGACATTCTAGAGGGAGCCTCTGAAGCCAGCCACAGTGGGAGCTGGCTCTGCCGGCTTCTCACTGCCAGACAGAGTATCTCGGCCTGGCTAGGCCAAACCCCACCTGCCCCTTCCAGCAGGCCTGCCTCAGCATGCACAGAGTAGAGCAGCCAAGCCAAGGTCCGGTATTTTGCTGCTGACTCACTCGGTGACTCTGGGGAGGGGGGAGGTGTCGTGGCACAGCCAGCCTGACAGTGTAGGCTTCCACCCACAGAGATGGGCAGGCAGGGATATCCTGTCATCTGGGCATTTTGGCTTTGACTCCTCTGCCTCTGCCTTAGAGGTGATGTTTTGGGTGTTCTATCATGCATTGTAGATAGAGATGAGTTTTATTCACGTAAGTTATATCTAAATAAAATTGACTTTAAAAACTGAACAAGACCTCGGGTGGTATTCTAGTTACTGCCCGATCTGCTGCCCCCTCCCCCCCAGTGTACTCAATAAACAATAAACAAACAAACAAACACATAGAATCACAGTAGATAGTCCTGGGTTCTTCTTGCCCTTTCGAGGTCTGGCTATTCTTTTAAATTTATTTTATTATTTTTTTATGTGTATAGCTGTTTTGTCTGCATGTATGTCTGTACAACATATGTTTTCAATGCCCGAAGAGTTTAGAAGAAGGCACTAGATCCCCTGGCACTGGAGTTATAGATGGTGATGAGATTCCATGTGGGTACTGGGAATCAGGTCTAGGTCCTCTAGAAGAGCAGCCGGTGCTCTTAAACGCTGAGTCCCCTCTCCAGTACTAGGGCACCTGGGGAGATGGAGCAGGTTTTCTTCTACAGCCAAGCATTTGTGAAACCTTTGACCTGTCTGAAAACTCCACTTTCTTTCTGCTGGCGCCCTTTTAGTGGATTGTGCTACTCGTCTCTGGAATGTTGATGACCAAAGTGGAGTTTTATGACGACTGACCCTGGAGAGAAGTGTCTAGGGATGGCCACAAGTCATGTCTTGGGTTTGTGTAAGCTATTTAGTAAGTGAACTTGCAGCTCCTCAAATGTTCAGTGTCAGATCTCTTCCTGGCCATTGGACTCACATCACCTGATATCCATAGAGTGGATGGATTCAAGACGCTTTGGGAAAACCACCCTGTGGTTATCCTTGGGGACCACCGTTCTCCGGCTCTCGTTTTCACTTAAGTTGTGAGGCTCAGTGGAGGGAGTCCAAGCCCATCTGCTGGAACAAGGGTGGACATGACCTATCCCACAAAAGGATAGGCATGACCTATCCCCGCCCATACTTAAGCTGGGTCACTTTCCCAGTCCATTCCAGAATTCTCTTTTTTTCCTATTTCACTTTTTAATTTAAATTAGAAAGAAGCTTGTTTTACACGTCAATCCCAGTTCCCTCTCCCTCCCCTCTTCCCCAGCCCCCAACTAACCCCCTATCCTTTCCCCTTTCTGCTCCCCAGGGAGCAGGGCATCTGTGGGTGAGTCACTGAGTTGACCCCACTGTGAAGTTTTTTGTGGTGTGTGGGACCCAGGCAGCCTTGAGGCTCTTTTCCAATACTCAGGTGACAGTAATTTGTGCAGGGGACACAGCTTGTAAATGAAGTCTATCCTGGCAAGAACTCCTCATCCCTCCTACCCTGCCCCATCTCTGCTCATTGCCTGCCTTCAGTCTGTGTCTTCAACTCTTCTATTTCACTGTTCCCTTGGGCCTCCAGCCTGGCCGGGCAAGGGAGTCACCTGTCCCTTAGGGGTTTTGTAGCACCGCTGCTCTCAGCTACATAAGCTCCTTGAATAATAAGAAGAAAACAGAAGGGGAAACAGAAGTTGACCTAGCCTTGCTCTTGCAAATCCGGTTATTTAAACACGGTTTTGATGCTCGCCCTTAGGCCTGCACCTGTTTTGTATTAGTGAATTCCAACATGGAAACTTCTCCGGGGTTCCCATGGTAATCGCTATTTTTACCTGTAATATTTAGGACTATTGTTCTCTCTGTCCCTTTTTCAAAATCCTTTTTTTAATTAATTTTTTTGCCCTTTCCTAGAGAATAGAATAATGGATTTATCATTATGATGAATGTAAAATTCTCATTACCAAGAAATGATTGTTGTCTGTGTTGATGGCTTACCTCTAGGACATAGATACCAACAGTAAAATCTTACCCAGTGGAGCGCACAGTACAAGGAAGCTGAATAAGTAAAGAACAAAATACTGGCGCCCTGGAGGCTCTGAGGAAGGAAAGTTGCATCAGGTCTAGACAGGGAGCTAGGGCAGCATTTGGGAAGAGGGGCTTCCTAGCTGAGAGGAGGTGGACGTAATGATTCAGAGGGGTGTGCTAGGGCAGGGAAAGACATCCCTTCCCCTGTAAGGTATTCCTTCTCCATTCCCAGATCCATGCTCTGGGCTACTCTGCTTTCCTTAGACCTGTCATTGGTGAGGGTACATTGGTGATGTATCTTAGCGACATCTATATTCATGAAAAATTTTGTTTTAACTCGTGCAGAAGTACGGCTTTGCCGGCCGACAGCTATTCCTGCCACCCACTCAGAGGACAGCCTTCAGGTCTAACACTGTTCCTTTATGGGGAGTCTGTCTTCTTTTAAAATTCCATGGGGGCATGCCCAACTGTGGGTGATGGCTGTACCTCCAGGGCATCTGTGAGTGTGGCCCAGCACACAACCGTAAGTTTTCTTAAAATATTGTGAGAGCTGTTGGTTTTGAATTTTTTTACTTATTTGTTTGTTTGTTTATTTTTGTGATTCAGTGGCACTGTTCTGAAGCATGAGCTTTGCAGATGATAATGTTTGTGGTAATGTCTGAGGGTCAGACGAGCTCCCAGATCTCTGTCTTCATGGTTCTGCAGTTTTACTGTGTCTAGCCACCTTAAGATGTACCCTGTTTGAGATTTTTAAAAAAACTTTCTAAAAATGGGGGGCTGGAGAGATAGCTCAGCAGTTAAGAGCACTGGCTGCACTTCCAAAGGACCTGGGTTCAATCCCCAGCACCCACATGGCTGCTCACACCTGTCTTGTAAGTCCAGTTCCAGGGCTTCTGGTACCCTCATGCGGATATACATGCAGGCCAAATACCAATAAACATAAAATTTTAAAAAATAAATTAAAAACTTTCTAAAAATAAAGACTTGTAATTCAAGATTGCAAAAGTCCTCGTCTATCCTTCCTTTGAATACTTTTTCTCTATCGCCTTGAAGCCATGAATTCTATCTTCAACTGTTTCTACTGGCTTCCCAATTCTTTTTATAAATATTTTAATTTCTATTCATTTCGAGACATTTTTTCAACTCTTATAAAATGACTCTCTGTGGGCCTTCTTGCTTTTTGCCCATTTCTTCTTTTCTCGGATCTATGGTTTGACTCATGAGGAATTTTCTTCAGCTCTTAGGTAGGGTTTTCTTTCCACACATGGTCTTTCGGTATCTCTTGTGTGTATTGCTTTTGTCTCGCTTTCTGTTC